TGCCCCCCACCCAATGAATGAGTGAACGAATGATTTCTGAATGATGGAATGAACGAATGATTGAATGATTGAATGATGGATTGATTGATTATTGATTGATTATTGATTGATGGATTGATTGAATGAATGAATGAATGAATGAATGAATGAATGAACGAATGAATGAACTAAGGAATGCATGCATTGCCCGACTCTGGGCGCAGCCCCTTAAATTTTATCTCCACTGCCAAGGCGCTCAGAAAGGCCACTTCTGCCGAGCAGTTCTCGAAGAGCACCGAACTCCCGGTTTCCTGTTGGTAGTTCGAAGCATAGAGGCCACCTCCTGATACAAAGAGAGAACGCTCTGCAAACGCCCCAAAACCCGAAACCCTAAACCCCAATGACTCCAATGTAACTGTCTGGGATGAGTGCGCCACAGTTCGGCCACAACTCCAAAATCCCTACAGACTTTACGTTGAGGAGCCCCTAGAATCACTGCCATCCATCCTAGACCTTGACATCTTCTACACACTACATTGCAGGGGCCGTCCCTGTCCGACTAAGGCTCGAAATGGCACGAGTACCGCCACGCGCAACAGGGCGGGCGTCGGGGAAGCTGCTGCCCAGGCCTCGTCGTCGCCCCCGGGCTATGTGTTCCGGACCTGTGGCCATGCCCTACAGCATGAAGCTGGGCGTCGGAAGGCTCCCACTAGCAACGGGCACAAGAAAGCTGCTGCCCAGGCTCCAGAGCCCGCCCTGCAGCTGTGGAAGATGGCGGAGCTGTTGGGGCCCTGTGTGAAGTTCTCCACGAGTGCACCGCCGCCGTTACCTGCGAGACAGCACAGGCTACGACTCGGAGCAATGAGTTCAGGCCCCTTCAGCTGCTCAGAAGAACCAACTTTGTAGTGAGAGTCTTTCCGGCTTACGTCTCTCTAGCACGGCCAGCCCCAAGCCGTAGAGATCTTCAGCCTGCATCTGCCACCCCTGCAAGCCCGTCGGAAACCAAGGACCGTGTCGCTCGGAATGAGGCCACACAGTTACCGTGGTGAGGACACCCGAAAGCCAAAACCCTCATCTACATCCTCGACTGCCGAGACGCTGAATGCCGAGCAGTGCTCGAAGAGCACCGTACTCCCGGCTTCCTGGCGGAAGCCGCCTTTGGCGTCGAGGCCGCCTCCTTGGGGCACCAACATGTTTTCGTGTCTGACGGGTGGATAGAAGTGGGGCCGCAGAAACAGCCCAAAAAAATCTCTCAAAAAGAGCCCCCCAAAGCCCACACCCTGCTAACTTGTTGATTGCAGAGGCTAGCCCGGTGCGCAATAAGTGCCTGCATGGCAAGTACTTCCAGGGCTATGTTTCTCGGACCGTGCAGGCAGTCACCTGCCGTGGCACGGGCAGTGGCCATGCCCTACAGCATGAAGACGGGCGTCGGAAGGCTCCCACTAGCAAAGGGCACAAGAAAGCTGCTGCCCAGGCTCCAGAGTATTCCGCCTTGCAGCCGCGGAAGATGGCGGAGCTGTTGGGGCCCTGTGTGAAGTTCTGCCCCAAGCGTGCACCCCCGCCACTACCTGGGACACAGCACAGGCTGAGTTCGGGCAGGAACCCGCTTTACAGTACGAGGCATAATCTTCCCATTGTCTCTCTAGCCCCGGCCAGCCCCGAGCCGTAGAGATCTTCAGCCTCTATACTTGCCGCCCCTGCAAGCCCTTCGGAAAGCCAACGACAAGGCACATCGTCGATCGAAGATCAGTCTGCACTTTGCATTAACATGGTGCCCAGCGACCGGTGGAGTTTTACTTCCCTCTTTTTTGGTGGTGGAGGTTCCTTTTTCGGCTGGTTTCTCTTCATGACCTCCCAGTCTTTGGCGTGGTTTCCTTGGGCTCGCCCTTTCAAGACACAATAATGACTCTATGATTCTATAACTTAAACTTGACCCCACAATATGCGATGGCGGTTGCCGCCTCATGTGGCGATGGTGGTTGATCTCACGGTGAGGACACCGGAATCCGACGGCTGGGTTGAACCAAATCTGATAGCATCAACTGCCGAGGCGCTATCTGTCAAGCAGTGCTCGAAGAGCACCGTACTCCCGGCTTCCTGACGGAAGCCGCCTTCGGCGTAGAGGCCGCCTCCTTGGGGCACCAACATGTTTTCGCGTCTGACGGGTGGATAGGAGTGGGGTCACAGAAACAGCCCAAAAAAATCTCTCAAAAAGAGGGCCCAAAAACCCCACACCCTGCTAACTTTTTGATTGCAGAGGCTAGCCCGGTGCGCAATAAGTGCCTGCATGGCAAGTACTTCAAGGGCTATGTTTCTCGGACCGTGCAGGCAGTCACCACCAGCCAGTTAAAAGCCTGCCGTGGCACTTGCAGTGGCCATGCCCTACAGCATGAAGATGGGCGTCGGAAGGCTCCCACTAGCAACAGGCACAAGAAAGCTGCTGCCCAGGCTCCGTTATCTCGCGCTCGGCAGCTGCGGAAGATGGCAGAGGTGTTGGGGCCCTGTGTGAAGTTCTGCCCCAAGCGTGCACCCCCGCCATTACCTGGGACACAGCACAGGCTGAGTTCGGGGGCTTCAGCTGCTCACAGGAACCCGTTTTACAGTACGAGGCATAATCTTCCCATTGTCTCTCTAGCCCCGGCCAGCCCCGAGCCGTAGAGATCTTCAGCCTCTATACTTGCCGCCCCTGCAAGCCCTTCGGAAAGCCAACGACAAGGCACATCGTCGATCGAAGATCAGTCTGCACTTTGCATTAACATGGTGCCCAGCGACCGGTGGAGTCTTACTTTCGTCTTTTTTGGGGTGGAGGTTGGTTTCTCTTCAGGACCACCCAGTCTTTGGTGGGTTTTCCTTGGAAGAAACTGGGAAACTTGATGCTTAGCTCGCCCCTCCAAGACACAAGAATGACTCCATGATTCTATAGCTTAAACTTGACCCCGTTATATGCGATGGCGATTGCCGCCTCATGTGGCGATGGTGGTTGAACTCATATCATATCTAAACTCGACATCTCGTTGTGCGATGAGGGTTGAGCTCATATCTTAAAGCTGCTAGGCGTTGGCGGTTGAGCTGGTATCTTAAGCCCACACCCTAGTTCAGCGATGGCGGTGCAATTTCTGAACACCATCGCGAGGACACATGCATGCGATGGATACCGCAACAAAACTCATGCACAGCCTCGACTGCCACGGCCATCCAAGGCGCCGCGATCTGCCGAGCAGTGCTCGAACATCACTGAACTCCCGGCTTCCTGCTGGTAGCCGCCGTCGGCAAAGAGGCCGCCTCCTTGGGAACACCAGCATGCCCTGAAAATGCCGTCAGAGGCTCCGACACGCTCACATGTCTGCCGGTCTGTTAAACATTTGACTGCCAAGGCTGTCCCGCAAAAAGGGCTTGCATGGTGGAAGGGAACGCTGCTGCCCAGGCTCCATGGGATTTATGGGATTTCGCCGAACAGCTGCGGAAGATGGCAGAGCTCTTGGGGCCTTGTGTGAAGTCGTTCTTCACATGGGCGCCGCCACCATCAACTGGGGGAAAGGGCACAGGAGCAGATTCCAAGCAGCGATTTCAGCGGAATTCACTTCTCTGCAGCACCCTACTGCCAGCAGCACCTTCCCACAATTTCTCTTGCACGGCCAGCCCCAAGCAAGGCTTCGATTCAACATGAAGCACAGCGATTCATCGCGGAATGAAACCGCAAATACCACGGTGAGGACACCCTAACCCGATGTTTGCTTTGCAAAATCTTCGGCCACGACTGCCAAGGTGCGCATTGCTGAGCAGTGCTCGAAGAGCACCGAACTCCCGGCTTCCTGCTGGTAGCCGCCTTTGGCGTGGAGGCCGCCTCCTTGGTAGACTTGCCGCCCTTGAAAACGCCGAACCCGTTCACGCGTCTGTCTGGGATGCGCTTGCGATGTGGGGGCCCCAGCATTGCCACCAACATTGAAAACATTTCATTGCAGGAGCTGTCCCTGTCCGTCTTAGGCTCGAAATGGCACGAGTACGGCCAGGCCCAACAGGCAAGCTGCTGCCCAGGCTCCGTATTCTCCCGCCCAGCAGCTGCGGAAGATGGCAGAGGTGTTGGGGCCCGGTGTGAAGTTCTGCCCCAAGTGTGCACCCCCGCCGTCACCTGCGAGACAGCACAGGCTACGACTCGGAGCAATGAGTTCAGGCCCCTGCAGCTGCTCAGAAGAACCCAGTTCCTGTAAGACCTTCCGAAACCCAAGACAAAGCAAACATCGTTTCAACTTGTGCACATCCTCAACTGCCAAGGTGCCGGAATTTGCCCAGCAGTTCTGGAAGAGTCAGCAATCACTCTCAAGGCTGCATCCCCGCAAAAAGGAATGCTTCAACAGCCATGTCTTTGGGAAACTCAGGCACAGAAGTACCGTCGAAAGGATGATAGCGGAGCCAAGCCGCGGTCTGCCGAGCAGTTCTGGAAGAGCACCGAACTCCCAGCGTCCTGATGGTAGCCGCCTTTGGCATAGAGACCGCCTCCTTGGGGTGGAAATGTGCGCAGAAGCTGCACGACATGTCTCTTTGGGCTTTGGGATGCAAGCGCACCCCAGCAACGGAAAGGGGGGGGTCTTGTCGCTGGACCACTGGAGTGCTGAAGACGCAGTGTCTACCAAAATGAAGAAGGAAGCCACTCAACATCTGACTTTCGGCTTGCTTTGTGATGCCGAGGTCTAGCGCAGCTACCGTCTGCAGCACTGGCCTTGCTTTGCGGCGCAGCTCTCGAACTTGACGTCGCTGTTGTCGGTGATGATGTCGTGCTCGATGAAAAGTGCTCCGCCCTTTCCTTCCTGGCCGACGGCATGAAGCATCTGTTCCGAACCTGCAAGCTTGACACCACAAACCTGGCAGTCGTCCAATACCCTGTGTAAAAGTTGTGACCGGTTCGCATCGATGACACAACATGCCTGCTCTTTATGCGAAGAAATCTGTTCGATCGTGACCTTTAGCCTGAGAACCGAAGAAACAGTTAGTTCATGCAGTCTCATGTTGATGCTACTTGAAAACAGCGTGATGAGGTTGGTGTTGATGTCAAACCGACCATGCTGCGTCTCTGGATATTCGGAGTTGATCACGGAACATCTCGGTGCAGAAGGTGACACAAAATTAGGCAGTGCATGTCCAGGCTTCGCCAGTTTAGGTGCTCGGCCACTTCCAGGCTTTTGGCGATGCAACGGCTGACATTGGCAATGTGGCCACCGTTCGGTGGCGCACACACACACACACTGCGATGCTTAGGGACGAAGACAAGGCATGCATCACAAGAACCTGCGAGCGGTCTTGTGGCTCCACTGAACAGATACCTGTTCCATCGCGCGTTGTCCTCGCTTTAGGAAGACTGTCTGTACATGATGCCGATCGCATGCAACATGCCGAAATCCCTCCCTCATCACATGGTCTTTGCCAAGCATACAAACTTGCCATCAAAGAAGGTGAATTTGAGTAGTTTTCTAAATTGGGTCCTTTTTCGGGTCCCTTTTATAAGGGTGCCGTACTATATTGGGGACCTGAACAGGGACACTAATTTAGAGAACTACACATTTGAGGATAAGACTAGCGGGGTTTGGGTTTACGGCGCTCGGGGGTCCAGGGTTTAGGGTTTAGGGTTTAGGGTTTCAGGGTTTAGGGTTTCAGGGTTTAGGGTTTCAGGGTTCAGGGTTTAGGGTTCAGGGGTACAAGTTTGCACGGATGCCACCCAGATCCATGTCCCAACTGTCCCAGCCTTCAGTCTGTTTCTGCAGCCAACGAAGCTGGCGCGGGCGGCTGTCACCGTCATCCGCCCCCTGACATTGATACCTTAAGGAGGGGGCGTAAGCTCGAACCGCTTGCACCGTTCCTCTTGGGTATGCTTCGCATCAACGACTCTTCATGCAGCCCGAGATGCAGGGTCCATCCCTCTCCTGCTCCCCGATGATCTGTATCTCACCCATTAAGACCAAGTTGCCTGCCCACAGTGCTAGAGGGGAGCCTTTGAAGCTTCGAAGCTCTCAATACACGTCAACGACTTGATTCCAGTAGCCAAAAGAAGCCCCGAACCCGGCTGTCAAAGGTCACGAGTGCCTTGGAAAGTCAGCGGCTCCTTGAGAGTCACCTCGCGGCAAACTCAGACGAAGAAAGCATCACGTGGCCTGGTAGTGGATGGCCACTTGGCAAGCTTTGACAGCTTAAGGCTTTGCAGCCTCACATGGTTCGCAGGAAAAGCCAGGAGCTTGAGTCGAAGAATCGTTTTTTGGTTTGGGACTGTGGCACTGGGTCGCTTCCAGTGCCATGTTCCCCGCCTGCAGCCCTGGATGCGCGTGCCAAGTGCAGCTGCTGCTGAGGATGAGCGCCACGTCAATAACCTTGACACGTCTTGGAAGCCGGAGCAATTCCAAGCTGGCTGCTTCAGCTTCCAGAATTACCACTGGTAAGTGCTACTGCAACTGCAGAAGCCAAAAAGTATTCTCTCATGTGCAGGCCAGCGACGTGGCTGCCATTGCGCGGAAGTCCCTCACAGTGAGGGTAGTTGGCCTGGGGCTCTGCAGGCCTTTATGTACGCCATGTTTTCTCATGAACCATACACCAGCGTGCAGTTCAAAACATGTGGTGCCTCTTCTAGCTCCGGGCTTTAGATTTTTGGACGGCGCGTCAGCTATTTCCCTACCATTCGTGAAGTCCGAACCCGAAACCACAGGCACCCATGGACAAGCGACTGACTCTCCTTCCAGAAGAACAGCACCTGCCTTGACAAGAGCTTGAGACGCGGGAGGCATAGGTCGTTTTGTGATGTATCTTGACGGGTTCTGAGGGCTGGAGTTTGGCTGGGCTCTAGGATCTAGGATTCTGGTGTTTTTCAACGTGGGGCTCGCGCGTCGGGGATGATCTGGGTCGAAACCGAAAGCGCATGTGCCCGGCTTTAAGGCTTCTCCGTGCTTCTGCGCTAAACTCCAAGCCGCTAATCCTGGAACCATCAAATCCCCCCAAAGACCCTACAAACTCAAACCTCTGAGCCCTGCAGTAAGCAAAAAAGGAGCTCAATGCAAGAACACCGGAAAGAGAACTGAAGCGACCTCGGGAGGAGCCATCTCACGCAACCCGGGCTCAGGGTCGAAAAGCCACGTCGACGCCTCTCTGCTGGCTCAGGGCTTCGAACGGTTTTGGAGTTTCAGGTTCAGCTTTTAAGCTTTAGGGCCTTTAGGGTTTCGGGTTTAGGGTTTAGGGTTTCGGGCTTCAGGGTCTTTGTTAACCGTGCGAAACTTATGGGCAATTGCAGGGCCTTGGCGACCGGGGTCTAGCTGTTTGGTGCCCATGGTCTTGTCAAAGGAAAAGCCAGCACAAACCCTGAGTCCACAAATCGGAACTGGAGGTACCAGTAGCTTCAACAAAAGCTCCGGACCCTAAGACGCGAAAGAGGCCTCTCCCGTCGAGAGGACATCGGCAGGCGCTACCTGCGGAGTTGCATTGAACTTTCCAGGTTGAGAATTTTGTTCAGCGGCTCGAGACACATATGCCCCCAAGAGAACTGATGGGTTTGGGGGCCCATGATCTTCGAAGACGACGGACGCCCCAACGCTACGGCCGGCCTCTGTTTCGAGGAGTTGCTGGATGTCCTCTCGGCCGGGGCGCACGGCACGCGCGACGATCCACAGCCCTTGGGCTGGCTTTGGGCTAAAGCTGAGAAGCTGCATGCTACTGCTTGATGCCTTGTGGTTCTGGGTTCATCGGAGCCTTTGGGTTCAGCTTGCTCTCGGATGCCTTAAGTTTGTGCAAATTCAGAGAAGCCCGAGGCTCGCAGGAGGGCGGCGGTGAAGGTGCTTGGCGCCATCCGGACACATGGAATGCTCCCCGGTCTCAAGAAGCCGGGGAGCCTCTGAGGTCAAACAACGGAGCCTCTGAGGTCATCGCTGGCTGGGAGCCAGGGCTATGGCCTATACGGCTGCGGCATACGTCCTGTCCTTTGCTGCCCTTGCACATGGCGGAGTCTGGGAAGGCTACAAAGAGACCTTGCGGAAACCAAACCCGGAAGCCTCTGGACCATGTGCAAGCATTCATACAGCATTGCCCCACCACAACAGCGAGCTTCTGGATGACCCACATCTGTCCCAAAAATACCAGACTCACCCCCCATCAGGGAGGCCTCGCCCTCTTTTTGTACGCAATGCTCGCACCTTCTCCCCCCCCTCTGGAGTCGACCTGAGCGGGATGTGGGGCTCTGCCCCCCCTCGGCACCTAAGCCGAAGGGGATACCCGGCTATGCAGCTCTGGGGCACTGCTGCCTTAGGGTTTCGGACGGTTTAGGGCTGAGGCTGGCGCCTCCGAGGTCGAGCTGGACGCCTGTGCCCAGCTGCTCGACCCCGCGGAGGCCACGTCCATGGGCGAACAGATTGCTCATGCCCCTCATCTCTGGCAGCATTCGCATTTAGCTGGCCCTCATGTGCCATGCAGGCGCAAGCGGCATCACGGAAGCGACGGGGAGTGTCGAAGGTTTTCCGCGCTCATACTCTGCCTGTCAGCCGCGCTGGTTAGTCACTAGTCGAAAGGTAGCTTTGGTAGAACATGCTCTTGAAAAGCAGGGACTGGTGCCACATGCCTCACTCCCATCATCTCGCATCGAGTCAGCTACTCTCGGCTTTGCCTGAGGCCCTCCGTGTAAGTCCGAGCCTTGCCTCGCACCTGCTCATCTTCACTCTGCGCCGCCTCTTCGAGGAGGGGCTGCACGGCAACGGGACTTGTGGAGCTCAGTTTTCCCAGAGCATCCACTGCACTTCGGCGCACCTCCGCGTTCTCATCACTCAATGCCTTCTTGATGTGAGGCAGCACGGCGTCTGCGACGCTTTTGGAGTTGATGCCCATGTCACCCAACATCTTCACAGCTTTCACCCGCATCTGGTACTCGGTGTCTGTAAGCCACGAAGAATTGAGTAGGAAGCGGCGCGCCTGCGCACCTCCGGGTCTTTGTCGTACAAAGCCCCAAGGAGGATGGGCCCCACAGCCTCGGGGCCCCTGTGAACCCAATAGCCCAAAGAGCTTCACGGTGTTCAAACGCACTTGCTTGTCCCCATGCCTCAAATTCTGGTACAAGACATCCAGAGCGGAATCTCCCGAGCGCCCACCCAGAGCACATGAAAATGCAGATACGAGCTGGCCCAGGACGTCTATACCACTTTCGGGCACCATGCTATCAAGGCTTCCTGCCTTTTGCTCAACAGCCAGTGTAAGTTCACGATCTAGGGCTCCCAGCTTGCAAAGTGTATCCACCGTTCTCTTTCGCACTTCAGCTTCAGGGTCTCTGAGGAGCGTGGGCACAGCGGTGGGATCAGTGCTCATCTTCAGCTGAAACCGTAAGCCGGAAGCTGCCTGCTTCTCATCCCAGCTCAAGCGATTCAGGATAGGAAGCATCTAGCAGTGTTAAGGATGCAAGCGCCCAGTCGACCTAGAGAGAGCGCAGCACTTTCGCGCAACTCACGATCAGGTAAGTTGTGGTGGGCGACCATCTTCGCTCAGGCCGTTGCCTGCCACTTGTGTGGCAG